ATAAATCTTTAGTAAATGTACTGAGACTTTTGGCAGTTAAACATATTTACAGTCACCAAGGTGTTCTGAACTTTGCTGTTTAAGGAATAATAGAACATGTGAATTCACAGTGAATGAAAACATTGAAGCTAAAGTAGTTATTTATCTTAAAATGTAAATTCTACACATGGAAAAGAAGACACCAAAAGAGAGGAAATGACTCATTGCTGCAGGGTGCTCATAAAGTGGAGGTTTTTAGTCTTTTAGCATATATATCAAGTGCTGACTGTTTTTGCATTATTGTCATCTTTTTAAATGAAAAACAATGTGCAGCAGTATCCCCTTTGTATGGATGTGTGGCTACCTTTGCTCAAAAAGTTTGTACCTCTGTTCCACATTTATATACAAAGATGTTTTCTGTCACTGTTGATTCCACAGGACTACCAATTAACCTTAATTTAACACTGAGAGCAAGTCATACTCAGGTAGAAAATATTGGAAGTTATAAACAATAATGTGGCAGGGACAATTGAAAGGTTTATTAAAAGGTTTATTTAGGTTTAAGTAAAGTCAAAATTATGATTTATTGCAGGTGTCCCTATTTTGAAACTGTTTCTATCAACTGCAAGATCTGTGACGTTTTTAAGCACCACGCGTCTAAAACCTTTTTTTAAGCCTCCATTGCTTCATTGCATATACTGTACAGCTTTGATCCTGAACATTTCATTTAATGACTTAAAACAAGTATAGTGATAATCTTGGGAAAAAAAGTAACTTACATTGACTACCTTGCATCTGGCTGGCTACAGTAAAGCCCCACATGTGCTGCAAAGGGGAGGCTGTATTTTCTAATGTTGTTCTTTACACCATTTCCAATGTTTCACATTGACTGACTAATGTTGATTCTTTCCTTTCCATCAGTACGCCCGTTTATTGCTCGCTAATGACGTTACTTCTGAGGTACCTGTTAAGTGCTTGCCTAAAGGCTCAATTCTGTTTATTTTCTGTTTTTGCATGTGTATGGTTTTGCATGCACCAACCCCCACTGTGCCACTGTCTTCATTGTTCCTAATGTACAATTAAACCAGACAAAAGAGTTTGTTTCAGTGTGACTTAATCACCTTTTAATATAGACTATTTGAATTCAGTACTCGGAAACTCTTCTTATTAAATGGCACTTGCTTCACATTAAAACCATTGCTGGTGTTTTGCAATGGACCAAATATTTTTCTTTCCTCCTCATGTTTGACCGTTTTAAATAAAAAAAAACAGCTTATCACTTTCGTACATTTTTGTTTTGAACATGGAATGTCTTCTGTTTAGAACTACTGTAAATGCAAAGCTTTAAGAAGCAGTGTTATCTTGTATGTTTCTTTATGGAAAATACTGTTCTAGGTCTAAGCTCATATAGAGAA